TCTCTCTCAAATAAATAAATAAAATCTTAAAAAAAAAAAGACAGTGCTGAGAATAAAACAGGTGAAAGATAATTTTTAAGATTTGTGGCGGAGTTTCTGACTCTAGACATTTCTAGATAAAAACTTAACATTCACGATTACCATGATAGTGCAGTTATACACCATGCAACACTGAAACAGATTTTGTATTACAACCTCAGAATATATGCACTCACAGTGGGAAAAAAAAAACCCATAAATTATGAATTGCAAACTGCTGACAGAGCAAGGAAAGAAAAGGATAATTTTAAAACACGTTTTATAGTACTGACATCCATTTGGGGGAGGGGAAAGTGAGGGGGGAAAAGGCATGGCCAGTTTCTATCAAGAGTTTTTGCTTTAGGGTTATTTATAAAAGCTCTCACTAAACTAGATTGTAAGTGTAATACAAAACTGCCGAGAAACATTTAAACATTTCTCTAGATCAATAGTCATTTGCCAACAATATTCACTAACATTTTTGTTCCTGTATAAAACTTAGTGACAAAATAAATTCATCTAGTGTTGTTTCAATTCCATGCCATAAAATATCAGAACTATTCACACCACTATGTCAAGTGTAGGGACTCTTTCACCCCAAAAATCTACGAAAAGGAATGAACTTATTATTTACCTCAGACCAGTGGTTCTCAACCCTAGCCGCATATTATTATTACTTTTATATAAAGGTATTTATATCAATACATGAGGGTACTTTAAACAAATCCTGGTGCACAGGCCTTACCCCAGAAGAATGGAATCAATTGTGGGTTGGGCCCACATCTTGATATTCTTTTTTTTTAAAGATTTTATTTATTTATTTGACAGAGAGAGAGAGAGAGAGAGGAGAAGCAGGCTTCCCGCGGAGCAGGGAGCCCGATGTGGGACTCGATCCCAGGACCCTGGGATCATGACCTGAGCCGAAGGCAGACGCTTAACGACTGAGCCACCCAGGCGCCCACATCTTGATATTCTTAAAAAACGCTCCACCTGATTTCTAACCCACAGTAAGGTTGAGAACCACTCATCTAAGTTTTCGAAAATGCCATTTATTCAGTACTCTGTATGATTACTAAGATATACTGCATCTCCAGGCCCCCAATCCAGAAACGGCAGGATTCCACATAGTGAGCCAACACCTTGCAATTAACCCCAAACTACTGGCTGGAAACATATCATTCCCTTGATCAAGAACCTTAATTAGGGGCACCTGGGTGGCTCAGTCGTTAAGCATCTGCCTTCAGCTCAGGTCATGATCCCAGGGTCCTGGGATCGAGCCCCGCATCGGGCTCCCTGCTCCGCGGGAAACCTGCTTCTCCCTCTCCCACTCCCCCTGCTTGTGTTCCCTCTCTCGCTGTCTCTCACTCTCTCTGTCAAAATAAATAAATAAAATCTTTAAAAAAAAAAAGAACCTTAATTAGGTGTCCATGGCCTAGCATAACATTAAAACTATAGCACAACATTCAAAGAATCCTTCCACAATCTAGTTATTCCAACTCCTTTTCCCACTGCTCCCCACTGCAAACCCAATTCTCATGTGAAGCCAGATGATATGAAAGGCAGCTATGCTCACCACCATACCACCAACTCAGACACTAGGTGCTTTGTCCTGGTGATCCACACACAGGTCCTGTGCTTTCCCCACTTTCAGTCTTTGCTCTTGATGTTCCCTCCACTGGAGGTATGCTTCCTCACTCCACCCACAATTACTAATCATAAAACCTTTCTTATCTTTTGGACCCAGCTTGAATGACACCACCACCACCTCCATGAAGCCAGCCCCAAAGCCCTCTATCAGAATTTATCTCTAATTTTTTTTTTTTAAAGATTTTATTTATTTGACAGAGAGAGACACAGTGAGAGAGGGAACACAAGCAGGGGGAGTGGGAGAGGGAGAAGCAGGCTTCCTGCTGAGCAGGGAGCCCGATGTGGGGCTCGATCCCAGGACCCTGGGATCATGACCCGAGCCGAAGGCAGATGCTTAACGACTGAGCCACCCAGGCGCCCCCAGAATTTATCTGGCCCTTGACAATGAATGCCCCTTCTCACATTCTACCTTGGCATTCATGCCTATCTCCTAAAACCACAAGCCTAGAGAGTAAAGTGGTTGTAAGCCCCACGAAGGAAAGCACTGGGTCTTGGGCATCTTTCTCTGGTCCCCCTGCCCCTACAGCCAGCACCCAGCACAGGGTCTTTCTTACAGCAGTGCCCATTAAGTGATGTGGGATTTAATTAAAGTGCTCCTTACAACCATAATCCTCTAAATAAGAAGCTGTTTCTAGACAGGAAGGAGGTGGATTGCTTGATTTCTACAACTGAATTTAACACTGAAGACATAAACACCAAAATAAATAAAAGTGCCACACTGACCTAAAATGTAGCAAGTAATACTGTATTTGTGGGGCCAATCCACTGCATTCTAGTGGGTCTTGATCATTCCCGGTATTTGTTATGGGCCAGAATAGCGGAGATTCCATAATGGTGCAAAAGTGAACAAAGTGATTTCTGGAACTTAAGAGGGAAAGTAAAATTCACCTTAAAATAACTCTACTGAAATGCTCTTCTATTTTCTGGGAGACTTGGCACTCTAGGTAGAAGGTTAATTCTCCTTCCCTTGGGCATTCCTGGGAGTGAGCTTTTAAACTGCTAAAAATAAGTCCAATTCCTTATTTGAAAGCAATGGAAAAAAGCATGGCAAATTCTAATTTTCTTTTTAAAGTACAAGGAAAGTATGGACTCTCTGAGTCTTCATTATTATTGTGATTTTTTTTTCCTCCTTAGGAAAAGCTCAATTTTTCAAACTGGAAAGGATCTGCACATGAAGCATTTCAGGAAGAAAGGGTTAAGTGAGAAACTGAAATACCTGGGTGCATTTCTGCTGCTCTCCACTACACCTCCAGGACAAATAAGGATGAGTTGTCAAGTTAAATATAAGCAGTCAAGTGACTGAATTATAATTTACTCTGTGCTCAATTTAAATTAGTGTGAGGCTATTAAAATATACAATATAAATACGGCAATTCATCACAAGCTGTCATGGATGACTTCATTTATTTGCTGGAGTGGCATACACTCCACTAAAGGGAAGGAAAGCAAAATCACAGGTCAAATTAAGCCTCTATTCTGTTTTAATTCACTTATTTAATCTGTGGCGACATAATTGTCTTTTACAGTATGTACAACTCAGAAAGGAAATTTGGGAGGATTACAGTCAGTATATAAATGATTAATCAAATGGTCCATTTAAATGCTAGTTTAAAAGCAGGAGAAACCCAAAGCAGTCAAAGAATGATAATCAGCATATGCTATATACAAGCTAAGAAATTTCCTCTTAGGTGACTTTTTCCCAATTAGAAAATAAAAAATATTAGGAAATCTGTTAGGCTGTACTTCAAAAGATTTTATAGAATACATTTATGATACA